AGGTTAATATGTGTTATACAATCATTAGAGATAAGAGAAATTGAGGCTAGGGTTTTATTGATTCAGCATAATGTAATCGAATAATGAAAACCTAGATACAAAGAGACTATATATAGTCTAACAAAGGAAACTTAAAAGACTATTCTACCCTTAATAAATAATAAAAATAAAATAATCATATATTTCTTAACATGCACTACCCTAGTACTTCCACTCGAGCTTTCCAGACAAGGACCCAGTTGTAGGATCACAAAGATCCTATATATGAAACCTTAGTGATGCCCGAGTAGCACTCCATCGTCTATGGAAACTCCAGACATAAAAGTTATGTGCGAACTAGAAGTGATATGAGCTTGGTTGGAAAATGGAAGCGTCAGAATTTGTTGCACGGGATCAAGACCCGCCGCCGCAACCGCAATATGTAACATAGAATCAATTTAACAGTTTGGAGACTAGGTATGATGGCTCTTTTGCAAAACTAGGCTCAAAGAGTGACCAACCCAATCCCTAATCCAATAGAAGTTCACATAGTCCCACATCCACAAATTCAAAGCCAAGTTGCACAAACAGTTGCCCCCTCGATTATTCAGCCAATAGTAGTAAACCAAGGGGTTCACTCGCCTGGTACTCTACGAGAATTGGTTTTCAAACCAGACGTCAACCTCCAAAAGGAGTTCACATAGTTCCACATACACAAATTCAAAGCCATGTGATATACTTGGAACGCAAGATGGAGGAAATGATAACCCAAAATATAGATGAAGCATTATCAAGGAGGAAGGATAGACTTAGACAAATGGTTTTGAAAAAAGACCCCTTCACAACAGAAATTCTGGCAGTCACTCCACCAAAGGCTTTAAACAACCAATGACAGAAGCATATGACGAAGTCACGAATCTGATTGATCATTTGCGGACTTTCATGATTTTGATTGATCATTTACGGACTTTCGTTGATTTCATGAGGCTGTATGTAGCCTCAGATTCAGTAATATGTCGATCTTTTCTACCAACATTGATGAGAGAAGCTAAAGAGTGGGTAGCTACTCTGGCACCCCGATCTATCTGAACTTTTGATGAGCTCTCCGGGATCTTTGTGGCGTATTTCTTAAGTAGCAAGAGAAAGAGGAGGATAGTCATTAGGTTAATGCAGGTTATTAAGGAGAAAGATGAGCCTTTGTACGATTATTTGACCAGATTCATTCTCGCTACACTTGGCATCAAAGAACTTCAGATGTCTTTCATGGTTACCGCTTTAATGAACGAGGCACGAAATTAGGCATTTAAAATGTCGCTCTCAAAGAACGCTGTGGAGTCAATGCATGACTTGTTGAAAATAGGGACAAATATGTAGTTGCAGAGAAAGCAGATAAGCTCACAAAAATCTTCGCGAAGGAAGAGAGCTAGAGACTCACGAACGGAAGTCACATGACAAGCAAAAAGCAATTGATAGAAACAAGCTAAAAAATTAGCACGCTAACTAGGGGCTATGCGGTGAGCAAGAAAATTAAAAATTTAATATGCGCTCAAAATCTCTCCACGGTCCAAGTGGTGAGCTTCCAAAACCAGAAAATTGGTTAAGGTTCACAATCACTAGACCAAGCGCCTAATACCTCAAAATCACCCAAGGGGCTAAGCGATGAGCAAAAAAATAATTAAAAAAAAAAATTGGCTATAAAACTCAAAATCAAAAAAATTGGTTAAGGTTCCTCAAAATAACTTGACCACGCGCCCAATACATCAGAATCTCCCCATAGGATATGCGGTGAGCAAAAAAATAAAAAAAAAAATGATTATAAGCTCAAAATTGCTCTACGGTCCAAGTGATGAGCTTTCAAAACCAAAAAAAAATTGGTTAAAATTCAAAATCACTAGACCACGCCCCCCCCCCACCCCCCACCCATGCATCAAACTTGTCCAAGAGGCTATGCAGTGATCAAGAAAATCAAAAAAATTGGCTAAAGCTCAGGATTGCTTTACGATTCAAGTAGTGAGGTTTCAAAACTAAAAAAAAATTGGTTAAGGCTCAAAAATTATTAGACCACATGCCCAATACATCAATATCGCCCAAGGGACTAGGTAGTGAGTAGGAAAATAAAAAAGTTACTAAAGTTCAAGAATTGCTAATTGAGATAGCAGAACTAAAATTCGCTAACCAAACTCAAAATTGTGCAATGAATTGAGTAGCGAGCAATGACGAAGACCGAAAAAGCTAATGTATTCGACTACTATGCAGTCGTCAAGTAATCGACTAACAACTGCATAGCAATTGACTCATCAACGACAATCCACTGCTAATATAATAATGAATCAAGTATTGCTTCCATGAAGACTATGTTAT